CACTTGATATTTATTCTATGATTTTAAAGATAGAAAATAAAGCCGAAAACAGATTTGCCGGTATGGAAGACAATTCTACTTTTGCTGAAGCAAATTTAATTGATCCACGTTTTAAAAAAAAAAAAAAGGATTTAGTAGCGAGACATATTATATCCGTACTTATCAAAACGTCGTGCGCAAGATTTCAAGTATAATTAAACGCAAAAGACAATCTATTAATCAAGAAGAAAATATAGTTACAGATAACGAACAAATCACTATGTCAACTGAAAAAAAAGAAACCTTTGAGATATGGAAAGAATTTGATTCACAGGTATGAATTTTAATTTACATTTTTAAACAATTTATCAAATAACGATAATTTATGATAATAAATAGCCTATTACATATTATATTTTTTTAGGTAAAAGAAGTTACAACAGTGAGAACTGACACTTCCGATGCAATTGTGGAATTAGATAAATTTCTTAATGAGCCTTTAATCCCAAGGAAATCAGATCCTCTTGAATGGTGGAAGGAAATGAAACGTATATATCCAAATATATACCATTTGATGTTACAAAGATTGGGAGTGCCATCAACATCAGTTCCATGCGAACGAACGTTTTCTAAAGCCGGATACACACAAACAGACAGGCGTAATAGACTTTCCATAAAAAATATGGAAACATTAATGTTTTTAAATGGCAATCTATAATACATATTTCAGGTAACTTCCTAATCATTTTTTTGTACTATTATTATTTTAAATAGTAATTTATTGAATTTATTGTTATTGTAATATAAATGCAAAGACTGCAAAAACACCGTTGGGTTTTTTATTTTATAATTTATAAATACCTATTCCTAATCCTAATTATAAAACATGAATACAATCCAAAATATTTAAATATCGACTATTAATATTTGTGATAATATGTTTACGGCGGTCAGTATATTACAATTGAGTTATAATTATTTCAGTTAACGGAATACCGGTTCCGCCGCCCGGTAATAACCGGGCCCGTACACTGTGAACTATAATATATTTTGTGAACGAAAGGACCGAAGGAACGAATCATTTGAACTCGTTCCTTTTCCGGACCTGGAACGATAGGAACGATTCACAAAATGGAACGAAAACTCCCATCACTGGTACTCACGGACTGACTGAATGAGCGTCTGACCAGACGGAATATATATATATATATATATATCGGCGTCGATTGTCTAGAACATTCTCGAAATTACCTTAACGAAATAATCATCGCATATCCTAGAACATGGGATTTCCCCTTATCCACTGACAATATTGTAAACAACTTGGACGATTCGCGGTGCGTTGTTTACGTCACCACAGTATTATCTATCTACAAAATTATCTACCGAAGTAACTTTTTCTGGAGTAATTTAAGTTTTTATTTTATTTCTTTCGATTTTATATATTTTATTAAAATTAAAATAAATCAATACATCTTGTTAAAATTTTAAGCTTTTAAATTTTTTATACACTAAAAATTAATTTTTTTTTTCTGATTTACATCTTTAACCTGAACCAGGAAAGAAAATAAAACAATGTATAATTTTTACATACAGTTTTATGAAAATTTGAACAGGGAATTGAATAGTTCTAAGAATTATTTTTATCTTAAAAATTACGTAAAAATAAAACGAAGGGCACTCTCGGAGGTACGAGCCCCAAGGTTGTATTAGATCTTCTAAGACCGTGATAGAAACCAAGCAACTATCGCGTTTCGCTATTATCACAGAATATGTTATCATCGTGCGACAGCGACTTTACGGTACTTGATATGCAACGATACTTTACATTACAATTATAATCTAAAATCGTGCTTTACATACAATTTTCCAATGAACAATAACGATAAAAAATATCAGTTTAATGATTCATTATAAAATTGTTGATTTATTTATTTCATCATATCTCGTAGTTGTGTAATCGTTCAACAACTGTAAATATAACCTTGAAATTATTTTTTAAACTTACAGTTTTTACAACAGAATAGATAATAATTTTAATCTATTCTGTGGTTCTTACTATTTTATATGTTTACCTATTTTTGTTTTCTTGCGTCAAATTGTTAAATATTTTGAATTTTTAATCCTATTGGTAACAGTTAAATATGATGCCTTTAAAGAATGATCAGACTATGATAACATTAGAAAAGAAGACCGCAGAAGAACCAAAAAAGTTGAAACCTTGTTGCGCTTGTCCAGATACAAAAAGAGTCCGAGATGCTTGGTAATATACCGAATTTAACATTTATTTTGAATTAATATTTTTATTTAATGGGTATTACATTCTACTTACTGATACATTTGTTGAAATGAGAATTTCATATTTTCAATTTTTTATTATTAAAATAAAATTATAAATATCTAAAAGAACTTTAACTGACTTATATACCAGGTGTACCGGTATGAAATGAGCGTTTTCTTGTGAAAATGAAACACTAATTTTTAATGGGAAGGTAAAAAAAATTTATTCAAAGTATTGACCATTGCTTTCTACACATTTCGACCACCTTTCTGGCAATTTGTGGATACCACGCCAATAAAAATGTTCGTCTTTTGAAGCAAACCAATCAGACACCCAATTTTCAACTTCTGCGTAGGAATCGAAGTGCTGCTCAGCTAATGCGTGACCCATCGATGATAAAAAATGGTAATCGGAAGGGATTAAGTCTAGTGAATATGGCAGGTGGGGTAGCAGCTCCCAATCAAGTTCTTTGATTGTTTCTTGAACCGGTTTTGCTTTGTGTGCAGGTGCATTGTCGTGTAACAAAATTACTTTGCCGTATCTTCTGGCCCATTCTGGTCGTTTATCGATCAATGCATGGTTTAAATTAATCATTTGTTGTCTATAGCGATTAGCATTTACAGTTTCAACAGGTTTTAGAAGCTCATGATACACTGCACCTCTTTCTGATCCCACCAAACACAAAGCATTGTCTTCTTGCCAAATCGATCTGGTTTTGCATACGATGTTGATAGTTATCCCAGATTAACCCATGATTTTCTCCGTATAAAATTCTTAAAATAGATCCATTTTTCATCGCCTGTGATAATTCGATACAAAACTTATTTTATTTCGTGCCTTTGAAGCAAAATTTCACAAGTGTTTTTTCGGTTTTCCATTTGTCTTTCATTCAATTCATGTGGCACCCATTTTCCACACTTTTGGATATTTCCCATAGCTTTCAAATGGTCAGATATTCTTTGTTGTGCAACATTTAACATTTCTGTCATTTGCTTTTGACACAAAATATCATCTTCATCCAATATTGCTTGCAGTTTGGCGTCTTCAAAAATTTTTTTGGTGGTCTTCCACGTTCTTTATTTCTCAAATCAAAATCATTATCCTTGAACCATTGAAACCATCTGTTGCATGTTACTTCTGATAGAGCATGATCACCATATGCCTTGACAAGCATTCAATGCGACTCTGTGCAGCACTTTTCTTCAAATGGAAACAAAAAATTAATACTTTTTGCAAATCATCACTTACCAGTACAAAATTTGACATATTCAACACAATGAAATTATATGATATTGCTCTTTCGATGACTGGAAGGTTATTGAATATGTTTGACAGATGTCATGCCAACTAAAAAAAAAAAAAATTAAGGCCCACTCACAACAAATAATCCCTAACAACACAATTGTATCCTAATCCTCACTTCATACCGGTGTACCTGGTAAATAGATTTTCTGATGTTTTTTTGTTATATTATAATAATATTTAACACTAACATGGTCCCTGCTGTTTCAAAACGTCTTGTATTATAAATTACTTCCCAAGAAAAATATTATGTTTGAGTTGATATACATAACCCATTGCAAATTAAAATCTAGCAACTTTATTCATTATATTATTTAACTGTTATTAATCTAATCTTAAACTATAGACATAATATTATTACAATTTGGTTGATATTAATGAGTTATCATTATTAATTACATTAATTAGAATTTGTTCTCAAAATTATTTTAATTTATAATTAAGTTTTTATTGACATTGAGAAATTTTCTATGAATTGTCATACTATAAACATATTGTTTCAATTCATATTATTATAATTGGCACCACATAGTGTTGCTAAGAATTCATATATTTAGTGTGTTTTACCTGAGTTATCTATATATTAATCATTAAGAAAATATAGCCATTTTATTTCATTTATGATTATATACGTTAACATAAAATTATTCTTAAGTCTTATCAATAAATTTAAGTTCAACTACCTATTCTATTTTTATAAAAGAGATAATATATAATAGATTTTTAATTTTTACCTTACCTAATCATAGTATTTTACTATGAAAATTAAATTATACTTGATGTAAATTAGTTATATTGTAAAGTATGTTAAATATTTTTTATAAATTATACAATTTAAACTGTCATCTATTAATTAAAAAGATTGATTACATTTTTAATACTTAGAATTTCCAATATAAAAAATCTTATTATAAAATAAATTTATAAAAAAAAACATTATTCTGCGAATCTTAGTTATCGCTTTTAAGATTTATTATCTAAAAATATAATATAAATAATAATACTTCATACATTATTACAACTTATTTTTAAATTTTTGACAGTATTATGGAAAATGGAGAAGAAAATTGTCAAAAACTGATCGAAGCACATAAAGAATGCATGAGAAAAATGGGTTTTAATATATAACAAAATTATTCTTTGTTTTTTATAGATATGATTTTGTACACTATGTAGATACAATTATTTTCCTAGTCTATTAAATGTATTAATTATTTATTTTTAAAACTATTAAAATAATTTTCAATGAAATACCCTATAAATAATAGTATTTTAAATTCCTTGTACCTCTCATTTATAGAAAAAAATTGATTTCTATGAGTTAAATAAGGACAATGATGAAATATGAAAAAAAAGTACAACTTGCAGACTACTAATAATTCTTATTTTGCAATCTTAATAATGTTTATTACACAAGTAAAAAAAATGATTTGTACTTAACAATAATATAAAACTAAAACTAAATTATTTCTTTTTTCTACCTCCGCCTTTTCCTTTACTTTTATTTATTTCCTTGGGAGACGGCGATGAAGATTTCTTAACTGCTTTTTTTTTTACCTGGAAATTAAAAAATTAAATAATATTCAATAAATAAATTAAACCTTACAGTGCTAGATTTACTCACTACAGAAATCAGGGCATCATTTGCGATGTCATCGTCATCTTCATTATCACTGACATTTGTTTCTTCGTCATCTAGCACATCAATGTTATCAACTATATTTTTTTTTATTTTTACTAAACTAAATGTTGGTGCGCTTTTATTATATGCTCTAGTAAAAGCGCTTTTCACTTTAGCTGGTATATTGGACATAGGATCTTTATGACCAAGCCATGTGGATAGATCATTAAGTGATTCTAAATCATCTTTCACAAGATGATAATGATTCATAAAACTTAAGGATTTTTGAACACCAACACTACCTTCATCAATAAGAGGTTTAAGAATTGAATCTCGTAAAATTGTAATATAATCAAGATTTATAGCTTCTTTGCTGGCAGATAATCTAAATAATTAAATACACCAAATAAAGTAATTAATTAGAGTTAACAAAAATATTTCTTTTCGTTTTAAATACATACCTTATTCTCGTATGGATTTGTACTTCTTGTAGTAGTCTATTCATTTTATTCCCCTTGGAGAATTTTCCTAACCAAGAAGGAAAATTGATTTGTTTACTTATATGACCTTTTAAAAATTCACCTGGAGCATAACTAGAAAATATTGCCTGAACAAAATAATAAAACTATAAATATTAAATTTATACATATTTTTTAAAATATTAACTCAATAAAACAGTAATATTTTCATATTTTCATCACAATGACTAAATTCAAATTTTAATCACTTTTGAAATTAAAAAAAAAACATAAGTAATAGATATTATTTATATAGTTACATATTACACATGTTTAAAATCAATAAATAAAATTTAAATACTTGAGCAGGCAGTAAGCTCCAATTATTAGTAGATCTAATTTTTCCACTAACTATATCTCCTGTACAAATACTGTCTGCTGCTAATGAATAACGTTCTAATTGTTTCCATTTAGGACCCCTGAACAATTTGAAACAAACAAAAAAATTAGGTAAAATTTAACCAAAAAACAAAATATAATATTACTCGACATCATGAGGAACTACAGATAAATAGTTTTCTTGAACAAATAATGGAGATATGTTATAATCATAAAAGAAAAGGTCACATTTATCGTTGATACTCATTGTTTTGTGTTCTTCAGCTGAAAAAACTTTTCGCAAAACATCCCATGGACCCTAAAATAAATAATTTTATTAACAATTTGAAGAGCTTAAAAAATAATAATAATAGTAACAATAATATATTACCAATTTAATATATTTTTTGTTAACATTTAAATCATCTTTTCCTGCTGCAACAACTGACAAATGATTAAGCGTTAATCTTATATCATTATCTGTACTAGCAATAATAGAAGATAAAGTGTCTGGAGAAATTTTCAACTTTTCTTTATAACAAATACTCAACATAGCGGCCTAACATGATGTACAATATTCAATTATTTTATATACTAAAATATTAAATTCTTACTTTAATCTGTTCTAATTTTGGTTTGTGAAATCGAAGATCAAAACAGTAATTAGATAATGTACGTATTTTTGGATGATTTCGATCATTACACATGCATATGACTGGACATTGTGCATTTTTAATTAATTGAATTAATTCTTGAACTCCACCTCGATCTTCATTACCTGCCATGCCATCAACTTCGTCCATTAATAAAGCATGATTTTTTGATACATTTTTCCCATTAAAATAAGGATTCAATGAAGTTGTAGATAAAAGTTCAGATACATTATTTTGAAGTTGTTTTTTGGAACGAGTATCTGAAGCATTGAATTCTACAATATCAAAACCTAACTCTTTACATACCAAATGTGCTGCAGTAGTTTTCCCTAAAAAACCAAAAAAGTATGTAACCAAATAAAACAATAAATAAACAATTAGTATAATTACCAACACCAGGTGAACCAGAAAGTAAAGCTGCTTTAAAATAACTTCCATTATCATCTTTTGCCCAAGGACCTATAAAAGAAAACATTACATTCTGGAAAAAATATGTATTTAAACTTGTTATAAAACTTACTGGGTCGCACTAATTTTTTATTGACACCCAATCCATGGTTTGAGTACCATGATTTTAACCAATTTAATAATTTATTTACATTACTCTTATCACCTGTTTGACCAATAATTTGTTTTAATGTTACTGGTTTATATTTTTCAACCCAGAGTTTTGATTCAACAGGTATTTTAAGAATAGGAGAAGTAATGATTTTATTTGAAGGAGATTCGGTTGCATATCCACTTTCCTAATATTCAAAATATCAGAACAGTATTTAGTAAAATATAAAAGAATATGACTAAAAAATAATATTTCTTACTTGAGTGTCAGGTGATTGCACTGAATTAACTTTAAACTTTTTTTTTTCAGGTGTCCTTATAGGAGAAATTTTTCTTTTAAAACTAGTTTTAACAATAGAATTATCTTCATCACTAAAATTATGTTTTTTCTTTGGAGATTCAGTTTTATTATTGAACGTTTTTATATCAAGTTCATATTGGTTATTTGACAATGAAGGGCTCTTTGATTTTTTTGGTATTGATGGTGATAGTTTTGTTTTATTTAGCATTAAATTAGATGAGGACATAGATTTCATTGGTGATGACTTTGATGGGGTAATATTTTTTAAATTTACTGGAGAAGTTTTAAGTGATTTCAATTCAGAATTTTTTGATGGAGAATTCTCAGGTGTTACGGTAATGCAATTTGATTTAACAGGAGATTTTTTTGGAGTTACAGCTAAATCACTTGATATTGAGTCATTGAGTTGTTTCTCAATATTGTCTAATTCTTCCCATTCAATATCAATATCTTGTTCAAAGGGATCAGTCTAATTTTGGTAAAACACAAAAATGTATGATTATCCAGCAGGATACTAGTTTTCTGTATATTATAATTATATAAGTAATATTCAATAATGATAAATTTATTTTTTGGCTAATACATAATATAAATTAATTAATTTAAAAACATTTAATTATTTATGCACAAAAAATATTTAAAAAAAACAATTTTAACTTCAGATTGAATAAAAAAAGTATAAGGCAATTGTTGTAAATTATAGTCATTACAACTATTATATGAAAAAATACAACATGCATATGCCATTTACTTAACCAACTTTAATTTTTCATAATTTTTAAACATTTCTCTTACTTCTTTTTTTTTATTTCGTTTTAACACTTTAACAGTGCTTTGTTTTACTGGTTCTGAACCAAATATATCTACTGGATTAACAACTTTCCGCTTTTCAGGCAACTTTTTCTTTAGTTTATCAACTGGAGTAGTATGTGATATATCATCTTCTTCATCACTTGATAATATGCACTGTCTTTTTAATTTTCCTTTTGTGGTCTGTGGCTTATTTTCAATTAAATTATTTTTCTTATCAGTAGAAGCATTGCTTTTAAAGAAACTCCTAATATCCTAAAGAAATAATTTATTTTGTTAACATATTATAAAATACTAAGTAGGATCTAAAGGGAAAATATTAAAAATATGTTAATTTCAATGACTCTTAAATTTTTTTCTTTTTAATTTTATTTAAATGAATTACAAATTTATATATTATGCACAGTTTACAATTTATTATTTTGTTTAAGTGCTGTCAACGACCTTCTAGTAATTGACTATTTTATATAAAATTGATAAAATCATGTTACACCGTGATTAAGACTATAGAAAATCATAATCATAATAACAAAAATCAATATTTTTCACTACATGAATTGAATTTAAAATGTTGACTTAAATAATGAATAGTAATAATAAATTTAGACAAAAACTTTAACAAGTGTATGATAATATGTTGGTTATTATTATTTCTAAACTAAACTGTAACAGAAAAGTAATTTATAATTGAATTTAAGCAGTACATTTTCAAACCACAATATCAAATTCCTGTAACTTATTAAAACTTGATATTTGATACTAATAGATCAATGTTATATAAGTGCACATATTGAAAAATTAAAATTAAACATTAATATAGATTAACTAAACTATAAAGCAGATTAGTTAACGACAAATTGTGTCTTATAATTCTATGTTCGGAAGAAAAATTCGAACATCACTGCTCCTAGAATCGATTATATAAATTCATAGAGCATTTGAATAATAGTAAGAACTACAAATTCATGTACAAATAACTGCAAAGTGTCGGTTACATTTCGTAAAATAAGTAAACTGACCAAGAATAAAAATATTCATTATTTCATGAGAAAACTTACTTTTGACATGATGATCGATTACACCAAAAATTATAAATATTGATATGTCTAAAAGTTAAATCAAAATTGGAAATTCGAACATATTGAGGATAAATGAAACACAAAAATATCACGAAAATCGACCAAACATTTTTAACCGCCAAAATCGTGTGTTACTATTTAATATTGGACGTATAATCATTTGAAAACAATCCTCCATCCCATAGACATATAAAGATACCTTTATATATCTATGCTCCATCCTTATCATAAGATAACTAACCTAAAATTACTAAACCCGTGAAACATGACAGCACGTTTTATGGCTTGACTGATACTGGGAATTCAAATCAGTGCACCGATTCAAATATTAATGATCGTCGTCTGCATAGATATATTAAAGACATTTTTTTATATCTATGGTATTCTGTAGACATAATCGTATATCTATAATTTTGTCTTTAACTCACAAATTGTAATCAAACACAGTTGAAGAAACAGTAGTGTTTTTGTGGTTTAATCAAATCTTTGTATTGGAAAAGATCTTATTATATTTCTAGAATTTTTAATAAAAATAATTAATAATGAATAATTGTTGTTATCAAGTGGTTCTTCCTAAGCCAAAGCCATTGAGCATACGAACTACTTTTAGCAAAGGTTGGATTATTTAAGATTTTAAAAATTAATTATATATTAATAGTTGAAAATGATACATTAATTGATAAATATATATATATATATATATTGTAGCTATCAAAATAAATATTAGTTTTATTTAATCGATAAAAATAACAAAAACTTAGGCTATAATTGTCGTAAATTATATTTATATTATTAATGGTCAGATATGAAATTTAAAATATACTTGATGAACACTATAAATTACATTTAGTGTTGAAAATAATATTCTGAATGCTTTGGTTAATCAATATTAAGTTATTTTAAATTATTAAAAAAATATTAATATTAATTACTTAAATTATATTTTAATTTTGAAATTTAATAGGATAAGTATTATTTTGATTAATTTTAAATTTAATTTTGCAGAGAAATTACACAAAATAGAAAATATTATCAAAACATTGATTACGATTCAGGCAACAAATGATTTAAAAAAACTGTTTGACGAAGGTGCTTTAATATCTAGAATGTGCTGTAAAGTAAAGAAAAAATTTAGAGGAGAGAAACTATTTAGACGTCTCAAACAAGTAATATTTAGTTACCTCTGAAATACATTGTATAAATCCCTATCAGTATTTTTACTATTTTAGCTTGTAATTTATTTTCTACCTCTTTATAGGTCACTGTTTTAATTAAAAAATTATATCAACTAAACATTCCAGAGGTTATTTTAAATTTATTGTCAGCATTTGAAAATGGTATGCCAACAAAGCAAGCTGGTCAATGGTCTGGTACCCGCATTTTAGCAGCTCTTCATTTAATCGATCGATTGCAACAGTTTAGCAAAGGAATAGCTCAACTTATAGTTAAAGTATTACAAAATGGTCAGTGTTGGTCAGAAATGAACATTGCACTTGCTATGGTCAGCAGGGTTTGGATACTTTCTAAAGCATTGTACAAATCGTTTTTACGCTCATATAATCGTTATAGACCTGTGGTAAATCAGTTAAAAATGGCTGGATCTGAATGGCTACCAAACTTTGAATTACCTGAATGTTTCAATAGTAGCTTAATAGAAAATGATAAAAAATATTTTAGTTCTAGTGAATCAGAAGAACTTGTAGAAAACCCGGGTTCTGTTATGTGCCGTAAGCCTGAGCCTGAATCTTTTGTAAAAAAAAGAAAAAGACCAGGAAAACAAATTCGAATGTTACAAGAGAAACGCAAACACAAAATCAAAGTTGTTAAAAAACAGAAATGTATTTAATTATTTGTACATATTCCCTCCCTCATGTGTTATTTTATTTTATTGTTAATTCAGAAAATTGATTATACTTGCCTAACAATATGTTGTTTGATGTTATTATCATTTTAAATAATTGTTTCCCAGGAAACCTTAACATCATGCATTTAACTAACTAATTTTAGGTTCATTTAAATTTAAATTTAACACTTAAACTATTTCAAGCTTACTAATTTTAACTGAATACATTTTATTCAATAAATTAATTTATATTTTTATCATGTATACTAATGATAATTATAAGACATCTTACAAAGCAGCCCATAAGATTATACCAACCATGGTATTAGAGAGTAATGTATGTTAATAGTTTAATAAATAATTAAATCTAAATAGTTTATTTTGATACTTTTAAAGTGAATGAACATACTGTACAAAAAATGATAGAATAATTTTTTATGGTTTTTGTGAAATTTATATAAATATATTAATCAGTAGACCGACAATTCATTTTGAATTTAGATATCGTCTTTAGACTATGGAAAAGAATCAATACCTAATATTCCAAATTTGAAACAATGGAATTATGATACATCAACAAAACTTAATTATGATTTTAAAATTGATACTATGGATCCGATGCAGAGATCAACACGATTAAATGTTAATAAAACCGATTATATAATACCTCATTGGGAGAAAGTACGTTATTAATAATAATTTACTATGTAAATAATACAATTTTATCTACAGAACTGGTCAATTCCTCCAAAACGAATGAGTCTACCATCAACCGAGTATAACGAAAAATACATATATTCACATATTAATCATGCACCTACAACTTTTGTAAGATTTATCAAAATTTAAAAATAAATATGAATATAAAAGTATAATTGAAAATAGGTTCAACAAAAATTAGTTGCTCCTAAAGAAATGATTGCAATGCAAACACTAAAAATTAGTGATATGGGTATAATTAGAAAATTGGACCCATATGTGAGTACTCAAAAATTAGCACATACAGAAATAAATCCAGTAAGTAATGAAAAATTAATGAAAAAATAATGTAAATAATATGACACTAGTGAATACCATTATACACATTAGTGAACTTAAAATTGCATAATATACTGTATTAGATTACTGTTAAACAATTAAATTATCAACAATCGAAAAAAAATAAAATTATTGTGTCAGAATATAAATTTTATTCACCAATATTCAATCAAAAAAATGGTATTCGATTATTACCAAAAACCATTAATCATGTTCCACACAAGTAATTGAAGTTAATACATTTTATTAATAAGAAATAATTTTAATACATATTACATTTTATTTTACAGTTCTTTTAAAACAGAGATGTCAGCTTCATATAAGACACCAAATAATAAACTATCAACATTTGATTGTCCTGTTGAAAATCCAGTATCAATTTCAAGGAATCTAACTCTGCCTCAAATTTTATCAGTGCCTGGAATGTATGCAAGTGAATACTCAAAAATTGGGAATACATGATTTAATAATAAAAAACAAGTTATAATGAGCTAAAGTAATAAACTCAATCTAAATATTGTTGTAAAATTTGTTTTAGTAAAGACATATCATAATAATCAGCTATTGCCTTAAATGTCTTTAAATATGACATAATATCATTTCTGGGAATAACTGTAGTGTAACCACCAGCACATGAACAATAAGCATTAAGATTTTCCATTTTTATCTGTAAAAAAAATGTAATTACTTTATAACATTGGTTTTTATTGTATTCTGTATATTATATTATAAGAAATTGAAAAAAGTTCAAAAGATTAGCTAAAACAGAGAATCAAACACAAGACTTTTGTTGTCAAGGCGACTGCTCTTCCATTACGCTACTTGATGGTTAGTAGTCTAACTTTCGCTATTTGCCAATTTCATAAATTAATTTAATTCAATATTTACATACCTCTGAACATTTTGTACATTGCAAATCTTGAAGGGTATATGCCATTACTTTTCTACCAAGTGCATCAATCAATAAGTATTCAATTAGCATATTATCATAATGACTGTTGCAATTGGGACATAACCATGTTTTTTCTAGTAATAATATAATAATTTATAAATTAATAGGTACATCATTTTAGTCACAAAAAAAAAAAAAAAACTACATAATGAATAAAAATACACACTAATAAAAATAAAAATGCTAGCTTATCCTCAAGTTCAAACTAAATATCACTTTTTAATTTTCAATGTTTTTGTAAGTATTATATGAAAGCCAAACTAAAAGGCAACACCAAATCTAATTACGAATAATTAAAATTTGGAAAAAACTTGGATAGTGTTGTATGGTAGTACTCTCTGGGTATGTATACCAATAATAAATTAGTATTGATAAAATAGTTAATTTTATTCTGAGCATATTTATGGCTGTGAGAAAAATAAAATATATACTCTTGTAGTTAAATGATTTTTTCCCTAATTAATACTATTTATTTATAATATAATTCCAAATAGATTATACTATTATAATAATATTCTAGTATATTTAAACTTAAAAAAAAGAACATCTGAAAATTTTCTATCCTCTGAAATACTTATTGAATTTTCTTTAAGTATTTTATTATTATTATTACTAAACATACTTTCCATCAACAACACTTCGATGAGAATCTTTACATAAATCTATATCTCGACAATGATTACAACTTTTGCATATAACTTCCGGTAGTGTCCAAGAGAGACAAGGATCCGACCAATCAGCTTGATCACTAAAATTACCAACACCAATCAAGCGTAAAAGATTTCTTTTTAGTTTCATAATATCATCTTCAATCCCAAAATCTAGTGAAAGCACCTGAAATACATTAAATAAACAATTTTTAATTGAATAATTCTTTATTAAAAGTAAGAAACTTACTTTACAAACAGTTATTAAAAATTGTAAAGCTGGATTCAAATGTTTTCCTTTATTTTGCAAAAATGGTGAAAGTGATTCTTGAAGTTCAACATCCAAAATAGGATATTTTTTATGAATTTTTTGAGTTATCCTATTTTAATATCTTATATTATTATAGTAATTAAATCATTAAACAATAAATATTAATTTTATTTACGTGAATAATCTTGTGGTAAGTTCTTCTGAAATTATAGTTTTAGCATATTCTGCAACACTTTCACATGAAGCAACACCAAGCATGTTGCTTTGAGTGACTTGTGATAAAGATTCTGAAATACGTTTCATAGTTAAAGAATCAATTGACTTCATATGTTTATAAATGGCACTCATGTATAAGGCAATCGTTTCTTCAAAATGTTTACGAGCATGACATACATTAGGCAAATATTCTGATATGTTCCAATTCATTTCAATTCCAACCTTCAAGTATAATGTGTGTAATTAGATATGATTCATTTTTTTTTTTTTAAATTATTCTATAAGATTCAATGTTACCTCTTCAATATCTGGTCCAGGAGCCACATGTTCTTTGAGAAGTTGTTCAACATCTTCATTTGCCATATCAATTATATCTCCCATCGATTCTTTTAATTTTTCAGAAAACTTTGCTTTTACTCCAGAATAATTCCACTGTTTGTAAGAAAAATGCAATGTTAAAGACAATAAATAAATTTAAATCTTAAAATATATATATTAATTTACCAAATCTAACCACATCAAATACTCCCAACATGGTCCTAAGGATATTTGTAAGCTGTGAAACAATTCCTTATTAGTTATATTTTGTACAACATAACGCACATAAAATATTGCATCTTCTAATGACTTTTTCTTTGTACAAATTACTATTTTGTTAAAATTAGCAAAAATGATCATAGAACCAAGACGCTTAAATTCTGCAATCAACTAAAAATTTAATGATTTAGATCTATTTAATACTGAATAAATTAATATTTTATATCATTACTGAACTAACCAACCTGCATAAAAAGTTTTCTCATCAAACTATAAAGTGTTTTGCGCAAGGCTGGATCATACAGTAATGCATTTGGTGATCTAAGCCACCTAAATAATATTTAAAATTTAATAAAACTAAATAAAATATTTATTGAGTAGGAAGTAAATCAATATATAAATGATTGATATATAAAAGCTTACTTTTATCTCAGATAAACTTAATACATTAAAGTACCTACCTATAGAAATGAACCATTTGAAAATCTGCGTATGGGTTTTTATGCAGTACAACATCACGGAACCAAACATTTACCATAGATCGTAAGACTCTAAATGCAGCAGAACACAAAGCTATTTCATCATATATTGGTGTTACAAATGTTCCCCCGTCCATTATTTCTTCGATGGATGCTTGAGGTATTTGATCAAATGCAACACCTGCACTTGTACCTATAATGTGTAAATAACAACATTTCAATGATGTATAATATTTATTATTCATATAAATATATTTATAAATGAAGTGTTTTAAAACCTTCAAAATCATTAATATGATGAGATTGTAATAGAGTTGTTACAGGTAAAGCATCAATTTCAAGTTCAATACAATATGAAGTATAACAACCTTCATTATTGACAAGCATACTTGAACTTTCTTCAGAATCCATTAACATTCTAATAATAAAAATAATTATAATTGTCAATTAATGCAACACATATTTTAATATTAAATTGTTTTATTGTAATTTAATTACTCGCACTAGCAGTATAATAAAAAATAATTCTAAAAAGAATTTTAAATAATACTAAAAATTATTATTTTGTTAAGTATCAAACTTGTACTATGATATTATTTTGTAATAATTAATAATTTAAGTTAATAATAAATAAAAAAATTGTCTGTTTAAATTACATACATATACTTCTGATTTTCTATATTTTGTTTTGTAAATGGTCATTCTATACAGAATAATAATTTTGTTTTACTTTGTATTAAGTTAAAGAAAATTTGAGCAAAAATACGAGTATTAAAGTGCAAAAAAAAAAAAAAAAATAGAAATACTTAAGCACTAAAATATTTAAAATAGTATAATTACTATGGTAAGTATTTAAATACAAGTACATAAATACTTTTAATACTGTTTACAAATTACAATAATTACCTATTATCATCATTTTCACAGCCACCTAAATCAGGTTTATCTGTTTCAGAGATCCATAATACAAAATTATGTTTCATTAGATGTCTAGCAAAAAATATATCCGAGGCAAATAATGTCACATCTGATGGTAAATTTCCAATAGGTATTTGAAGATATCTACATTGTTCTAGCACAATACTCATATTTTTTGGACTATTTAGATAGTGACTGACAATCAGATTGCACCCTAAACGTTGCCATTCCATTTGAGCATACATAGAAGCAGCAGTTGAATCTTGTACGTGAAGAGTTACAATTGGAAATTCACTCATTATTGGAATATTGGATATTAAAACTTGATTATCTAAATTAATGAAAACGATTTAAAAATAATACTATTTGTTTCATTTATTAAAATTTAATATTATACCTATAGCGGACTGAACAATAAGCATTGTGGGTCCTCGTTTTTCATCCCTGTATGATTGAAGAGTTCTTTGAATTTGTCTATAAACTAGTCTTTCTTCGATTTCTATTCTAACTTCAAAAGCAATATCAGATGGAGTATCAGATTCTTTGTGTCCACGAGATATTCTAAAAAAAATATACAAATAAATAAAGCATCATAAAATAATCATACTTCACGATTAATTTAAATGAAAAATATTACTTCTTATTGCGTTCTTTGCCATACAAAGTATTTAAATTTGCCATACGATTAGAACGAACTGTATCTATGACCCAAACAAATGCTTTTTTATTAGGGGTTAAAAATAATGCATACATGGCACGCACACCTGTTGAAGCTTTATTCGAGTACAAATATATGTCTTTAAGAGAACTCTACAAAAAAAAAAAAAAAATTAAATTAATACATTTTCTATTACATTCAAAACATTGTACATACATTTATTAAATATTTATGAGACACTTGTTTCATTTGTTCAAGTGAAAAATTCCCTAGATCAGGTAATGCAGCCATTTTTTTTGCTGCTTCTAATGTGACAGAACATACACATCCAAGATTTAACAAAGCTCTTAACTCTGGTGTTACTTTGGTTTCATATATTCCTTCAACACCAGGTTTTGATAAAATAAAATTGCTAAACAAAAATAATTCAATCATAACATTTTAATTTATAAATTTAAATATAAATAAAACTTACTCTTTAGTTTTACTAAAATCTTTTTCTAAAACTGTATACTGGTATAAGTTTAAAACTGGTCTAGCTCTGGGCAATATCATATTTACTTTAGTACAAGAATTGGACTTTTCATAATCATTAGTCTCGGTATGTCTCTGGTTAACATAAAAGGTCCTAGGTATAGTCATTCGTATGTTGTGCAACTCATCTCCAATCATGGCCCACAGTTTTAAAATACCAGGATCACCAGATTGACACACTTGTATAATTTGCCAAGGTTGACTCAGCAATGTTTGTTGTGCTCGTCTTAAAAACCCTCCTAACGTACCAGCACGTCCTTTGGTAACTTGATCATCCCGCATACGTTTTCCATGGTTGCCAACTATTTTAGCTCTCATTTCAAGTTGCCAATTCCATTTCTTCTTTTGATATATAATCCAATTCTAAAAATATTAAATTACTTTAAAACAAATGTAATTTTATTAATTGGTTGATAAATAATCCATTATTATAAAGTTCTAAGTTTACTGATTATTATAGAAAATGTTTAAATCCTTTATGATAACATAATGACTACTATAAAATATACTAGTACTAAGAAGAGTAAACTAACTTTAATATCACTAGTTGGTGGCGGTGGTCCAAGAGCTGCTTTCCAGTTTCTAACATCTATTGGTGAAGGATCACGTTTACGCTTTTTGGTTACCACAGGTCTTGGTAGAATTTCAGCATTATTATCATTATTTTTACCAATATCTTCTATATCTGTTAGTATCTGTTGTTCTGATTTATGTTCTTGTATGGTGATTGGCAAAGTTTGAAACATTGTTGTGATTTTTCTCTGTTTTAATGGATCAGCTTTCATTAACATTTTCCGATGCAACCAATCTGGATGTTTGACTCTTGGTACAGGATTAGCAACCTTCAATAATATTAAAAATTATAAACTAATTTTATAAAACTTTGTTTCTAAAATAGTTTTATTAAAGCACATACTCCTTGTAAAGTTGCTGGTATTGTAATAATTTTTTGGATAGTACCACTTAAACGTTCAATATAATAATCCCAATCAAGAACATCACGAATATCAATATCATCTATTGAGTTATCATTAAGCCATCTTCTTAAATAATGTCTTTTAACACTTAACTCAGACTGAAATATAGCTAATGGTATAGCTCTTTGAGTAACTGGAGTACCTTCTGGTTTTTTAGATATTATAAAACGGCAAGCAAGTCCTTTATCTTTGACCATTTGATCACCCAAAAATTCAGCTAAACGCTTAGCTGTTGATATAGAAGTGGATTTTTGTGCTCCATAATCTTCAAGTTTACGACTCATGGAACGATTTTCTGATATTAATTCAAATAATTCAGAATCTGGCATATTTTTTCCCTATTATAAAATATTTTTAAATTAAATTAAAAATTATTTTTATCATAATAAATGTATTAATTAGATACTACTTACTTTAGAGTATAAAACATCTAACCAGTAGTCAGCAACAGTAGCAACATTATCATAACATTGTTCTAATGTATCGCCTTTTAAAAAAGCTTCAAACACTGATGATTGAAAAATCTTAATTATTTGTAGTTCTCCTCTTCTTTTAACTTCAAAACTATGTAAAATTTAATTTTAGTCATTTAAATTTAGAAAATTAATTTATTACGAACCCTTTTAATTCTGCTAATGATTTATCAAAATTGAACACTGCATAGCGTTTTTTTAATTTTTTCCCTTCTTCCTTAGAAGCAGGTAAAACCATTGCTAAGTATGGACCATCAACTTCAAAGAATATAGAATTTTCACTTCTCTGTTTATAAACTAAGTTCTTTGAATCAACTAAGTCGTGGTAAAAATGATTTGTAAAATGTTCCTAAATATAAATATGTATTTAGTTTTCTATTTATTTACATTAAATATAAAAGAAAACTTCTTTAACGAACTTTGACCATTGAGTTTAAAACTGCATTGGGGAAGGATACAATAAATTTAGATTTTTTTGCATAAGTAGATTCAATTGTATAATTTTCAGGAAATGTTGATGGAAGAACACACCATATACCATCAGTATCTAATTCTAAAGGCCTGCCAATTTTTTCTATTATTTCACGAGCTTTTGTAATTATAGCAGCACCTGTACAACATACTATTCCAGCCATTTCCATACTATGCCAACGTGCACTATAAATTAACAAAGACAACTAATTATTTTAATATTTATCCAAAAAGTATATAGGTAAAATGATTAATTCAAAAATTAATAATTTATTTTACTGATTCTAGTTTATAAAATACAACATAGCTCCCCTCCAACTCCCTTATAATTTACTCAACACAAAAATCAGAAATTTTTTAATTTCTTGATATGCCAATAAACCCATTTTTGTAACATTTATATTTTTATTATATTACAGTAAAACCATCTTTAACGGACATCAGCGAATAACAGACATTTTTTTTTTTTTTGTTAACAGGAACATTTTCACTATTTTTTCTATAAAAAAACCTCTATGTTATGGAACACTCTAAATAACAAACAGGTTAATGATGATTTTAATTTTTACAATTGATATTTACATTATAAATAAAGAATAATTGTGTAATACCTAATTAAAAATCTACAATTCAAGTTTTATTTTATAATACAATAAAGTATATATTTATTTTGATAAAATACTATTGCATTGACGAAATATTGTGACTAATAAGTTGTCACATTCGTGTTTAATTATATTTGTGATATCAATATGAATGTATTTTTTTCATAAATTTCTATTTTTTTTATACTTACATATTTAATTAATGTAAAAATAAAATTATTTTAATTTATATTTTAATTGAATTTATAATTTTAATTTAATAAAAATAAAATTTCTCTCTCTGAAAAGTGATCAAAGTTTCAGCAACCAACAGTGATATTTAAAGGTTTCACTGTAATTTATTTTTTATTTCATTTATATTTCATTTAAACTTTATGGAATATTTATGTAAAATATTTGAAGAAAGAGCAGATTTTTTAGAAGTCAACTGAAATATACTTTTTAATTTTCAATTTATCTTATATTTTATGTAATGTAATATTTTTTAATTAAATACTAAACAAAAAAAAAAAAAAAAATGATGTTACATAAAATATAAGATAAATTGAAAATTAAAAAGTATATTTCAGTTGACTTCTAAAAAATCTGCTCTTTCTTCAAATATTTTACATAAATATTCCATACAGTTTAAATAAAATATAAATGAGATAAAAAATAAATTGCAGTGAAACCTTTTACTTTTCAGAGAAAGACATTTTATTTTTATTAAATTATAATATTATAAATAATAATAATAATAATAAATAATATTATAAAAATATTTAAGCATTAATTATATAAGTTAATATATTATTTTTATGATAGTATAACTATTTACCCTTTTCTCATGACGTAACCATAAAATGAATTGAGAATACATTTATGAGCTAATTGTAGTGAATCATATAAAACTTCACGGTTTTTAGCCGATTTAATTTCAACAGGATCACCTTTAGAAATTGCTTCAGATACTTGTTTTTTAGCAACTTTGCACATCCCTTTGTACTCATAACGCCTATCTCTGAATGCTCGTACTGTGTCAACGTAAAATGAATTTTCTTTTTGGCAAATAGTTGTAGAACGTTCTTCAATTTTAGTAACATGAGTTTTTTTATATACTTTGCGACAATATTCAGTTAAACGTTTTTTTTCCCAAATGGCTCTTTCATCTCGTCGAAGTTGATGAAATGCTCTAGGAGGATCATTAGGAAATTGACCAGGAAACTTTTCAGTTTCCAATTGTTGTTGAATACGTTGAAATTCTGTTCGTGAAGCTGGCACTAAAAATATTTATAAAAATAAATTATTAATCATTTTTAGATAACAATAAATAAAAACCTACTCAGTTCTCCTCTCCATTGCCAAGTCATTTTTCTTTGACATTTAGCACCAGGAACATTAAAATCACAAGCAGCACATATTTCTTCATTTACCATAGCTGAAGGTTGTAATCGATTAGTAAGTATAATGTTTGGATACATAGCACCAACATCCAAATGGTATATAAGTGGTTTTAATAATGGATAAGGATCTGATTTTAAGATTTCTAACTTTTCAACAACATCTTTTAATATTTCATTTAAATTTGTGACACTATCTATGGGGACATTTTCTTCTTCTTCAATTGCAAATTTAAATATTTCAGCTGATTTTTTGATTAACATATCAAAAGCTGATGTATCTAATCTAAATCTACAAGGTATATTAGCCCGAAAAACGCCCGATTCTAAAGCTTCCACATGACCACCAACATAAGTTTCTTGATCTAATACATGACCATCTTCACTAAGTTTATTCAACTCTTGTTCTTGTTTATTTGGAAATATTATGTTAGCATGAAATGCCTCTACCATCAAAAGACTTTCACAAAGTGTCCCAGAACCTTTTCTTAATACCTAAAAATTAAATATATTTTATGAAATTAAAAATAAATTATTATAAAAAAAAAATCAATAATAAAATTGTATTTTAATAATATTTTTTTTTTTTTTTTTATTAAAATAGTAAGATCTCAAAAACCCTTAGAAAAATAATTATTTAATTTAATTTTGAATATTAAAATTAATTTGACAAAGTTTTCAAATTATTATAGTTTACTCTTAATTTTGGATTGAAAAATAATAATATAAATTGAAATTTTTCATGTTAAATAATAAATTTAAAAAAAAGAATTCAGAAAAAACTCCAGTTCTTTTATGAGCAAGTACATAATTTAAATAGGTAGTACATAGTACGATAGTAAAGATCTAATTATTTGAATGCACAAAGTATATCCTAATTTTATTTATTATTTAAATGAATAATAAAACCTACAGCTGTTCGTTATAATTTTAATAACAATAATACTGTTAATATTTTCATAATTTAGACTGTAGAAGATATAAATTATAGTCATATAGAATAAATGTTTAAATTTAATACATATTAGTGTTAAAAATTAGTGTATCTTAGTTTTGTATACTATTTTAATTCAATACTAAGCTTTTCTATAGTTAAAAAGTCATAATTAATATTAATTATGAATTAAATACTTTTAATAATGTAAAAAAAATAAAAAAATGATTTTTATAGACTGAAAAATAAATTGTTATGTTTTGTGAGAAAACTTCAATACATTTTATCAAAATTCAAAAACTTAAATTTTATTAAAAAAAAAATTAAAATCTAAACAACATACTTATTCTAATCAATTTGTATTTAATAATGTTTGTATTTAGACAATTCAATCAGTAAAAATTATATTATTTATAATGGAGTTTATTTATATATTGTCTAATGTCCACACCACACTTAACATTATAATTCTGAATACAATTGAAAGAAAAATAAAATAGTACTTTTTCTCCAGTATACATATTATACATATTCATATTTCTTTTGATATTGTAAAGTACTAATTAATAATAGGTTTTTTTTTTTACCACAAATAAAACAGTACAAGAAAAATGTAAAATAAAATACTTTTTGTTAATAATTAATGTTTGATTCATAAATGATTGTTAAATTCAATTTTCCTCTAGGATGATTTCTTTTAAATCCAGAGAAATTGAGAATATTTTGTTGATACATAATCTAAAAATATTAAGTTTAAATTACAATAAAAATTAAATAATTTGATTTTTCTTTAACCTCTGTTGATATTTTCACTTTTTAATAATATTTTTACTTTTTACAAAAATCTACTATAAATATTATTATTATTAATTATAGAAAATTTAATAAAATTGTATTATTAATACTGAATCATTAAAACCTATTAGTTATCTTGTTACATTACATATCTTCTACCATAAAAGATGTGACACATTGACATGTCATTAAAGTTATTTACCTATAATGGTCATAATTGGGTAATGAGAAAATGTAATAACAATATTTAATATGTCAATCAAAAATAAATTAATTTTCACTCATAAATATTAATTAAATTGACTCTTGCCCATTCATCACCCTAACATTACTTGATGTCTGTTAACTACTGACAGCTATTAAATATTCACTATGAACTCCTACATAATATGTAAACTATGATTTTGCTCATATAAAAGACCATAAGCTACTGGGTACCATCAGTTCACAAGTTCAACTTTGTAACTAAGTTTTCAACTAAGTAACTATTCTTATATTCAATAGCTGATACTAAATAGGTAAGTATTATCAATATTTATTAGCAACAACATAAAGGTAATTTTATCATTTTCTACAACAACTTTTTAATTTAGAAAAATTTTAAGATAATTAATTTTATTATGATTAAAAAACCTACAAAACTAATAAATTTTATTTAAAATTTTTTTATTTTATTTCATCTTAGAACATAATGAAGATCAGTTTATACTTGAGTTTACTCTTTATGGCAATGGTCATCAAAATCGTTACAGCTAATGTAAGACTACAGCGTTCACCACAGCAATACTGTGGTTCTAAATTAGCAGACATAATGAGAGTTTTATGTAAAACCAAATATAATGAAAAAAAAATAAAAAGAAGCCAAATGGGTGAGTTTTATAATTATTGTGTAAAAAAAATACAAAATAAATAATAGTAAGTAGTAGGTACCAAATAGAACATTCATCTTTTACTTGATAAAACACATCAATTTCTTACAATGTTTATTACATTTGAATAAGTATTTATATTCATAAGTTGAGGCTTTTAAATGAATTAATTATATTATTCATATAATAAGAAACATTTCTGAATATTTATAACTATTAACTGTAGATATTATAAATGTTATTAAAATAAATATAAAACAACGTAAGAAAATGGAATACAATAATTAGTTACAAAAAATAGAAAATGTAAAAAAAAAACCAATTCAAATAAAATTAATAGTATTAAAGACATTTTAAAAATTTTATTAATTGAACAAGTATAATTAACACTCATTATTATGCTAGTATAATTGTAATACAGTAAAACCTCGATAAGACGGAACTTCGGTAAGACAGAAACCCCGATAATATGGAACATTTTTTTAGTTTTGTTTCAAATTATATATAATTAACTATCCCCATCAAGACGGAAACCCTGTTAACACGAAAAAATGTCATGGTCCCAAGGTGTTCCGTCTTATTGAGGTTTTACTGTAATTAATAATAATTATTAATTGGAAATATTATACAAAATAATGAACATTTGGCATTGGTATCTTAAAGCTTGTTCTTAATAACATACCTATTTACTAAGAATCTATATTTCTAGCAATTTATTAAAAATTTTATTTTAAAAACAACTCAATTCATGATAATTGTCTCATTAAAGTTGAAATACCTCATAAAACTTTTGAATTACAATGATTGTCTTGAATTAATTTCCAAAAATACTAATAAAATAAATCAGTTTTTATTTGATTGAAAGTAAACATTTTTATTTAAATAATATGTAACTATATTTTTAAAAAAATAATTTATTAAATAGATTCAGAAATCTGGGATTACAATGACTTAGAAGACTACAACGCAATTGACTACCCATACCGATCAAAGCAAGACGCAATGACATTCATGCCGACACGTTTACTACGTGGTGGAAAATCAAGGATCATTGATGAATGTTGTCGCAAACCTTGCTATTTATCTGAATTACAAGGTTATTGCGCTAATTGATACTTAAATTAATAACATTAGATTTAGTTTTATAGTTTTTGGATACTGAATAAAGTTCTAATTATTATGTAAAAATATTTGTATTCTTATTCTTACCTCATCAGGTTCCATAGGAATAATTGTGCATAATGCAAAAATAAAAGGATGAACATATTTCATATATAAATAATAAGTAGCAACAGCATCGGATACCGAATAATTAGATAGTACTTGAGGTTCGTCTGTTGCTAGTCGACACATATCTTCAGGATCAAGCTCAACAGGATCATACCGTAGTTTAGCTTTAGCAACAGCCTTTAAATTTTGAGATCCTACTGGAAGGTATGAATCTCGTTTTACCCAACTAAAATATTAAAATAAAATAATAAAACAATATAGTTTTTGAAATACAAATTCAAGATTATTTTTTTGAAAATGTACTGAAAATATTTTCTACAAAGTACAATTATCTAAACATGTCTTTCAATGTTCAATCAGATCTACACCAAAACATATCTAGATCAATTAATTTTATTATAAACTAATATTTTAAAACAATAATACAACTATAAAAACTACAAAAAAAAAAAATTAATTTTTAAATTTTTTTTTATAAAAACTAACTTCAAAGAAGGACACTAATTTTATTCACAAAATCCTATACAATATATTTTTTTAAATTTAAATTCTAGAATTATTAATTATGAAGAAACAATTTTTATGTTTTCATGTTTTCCTATAAATAGTTACTTATTTTAAAAATCAAATAATAAATTATATTCTTTAATATGTTTGTTTTATTGGGAAATTTTAGAGAATTCACAAATATAACCATATTTAATTTTAAATTTTAATAAAAACAACAATTCTCTCAATCTAATTTAAATATTTTACTAAAATTTGATGGTATAATAAAAGTGTTATTCATTTTAATGAAATTTTATTTAATATTCAAAATATTATATTTGTTAAAGGAAATTTTCCATAAAATTAATAAACTAACTAATATTTTTAAATTGTGATTATCAGGGCTCGGAAGTTCTAACAAATGCATATTTATTTTTGGTTCATCTTAGAACATCTAAAGTAAAATACAAATATGTTTCTCACTACTCGGATATCATACACAAAATTTAATTTTGTTATTTTTTGCATATTTACAGGTTTTATTGCTATTTTTCTAATTTAGGGTTTATAAAGCTATTTTTGGGTATATTTTCACATAATGTATGAAATAAACATATTTTGTTGATAATAATTGTATTTACTTGGTTATGTTTTTAAAAAATATTTTAATTATTGGAAATAAATTAGACCTCATCAAATATTATTTTATGTTTTCATTGACAATTTGATATATTAATAGTGATATCATTGTTATTCCCTTATTATATCATTGCATTAGATTATCAAACATTTTAATAATCTAGGATAATTTCCAAGGTAAATATACAAAATAATTTAATAATAAGTACATTTTTACAAATATATTTAAGTAATTTAACATTTTTATTAACAGTTTATAATTCAATCAGTCCAGACTGTGTCTAATGAGCCCAAAAATTTGTAAAATTACATTTTTTTTAAGTTAAATGCATATTTTTTGATTTTTCGTGATATTTATAAAGCATATTTTAGAGTTTCTGAGTGCATATTTAAGAGTTAAAAAAGTAACATTTTTAATGCTAAAACTTCCGAGCCCGGGTGATTACTAATATTATTTCTTACCATAAACAATCCATATGCATAGCTGGTCGACAACTATATATTCCAGCACTATTTTTGGCAAACCCTATTTCCTGTGACATATTTAAATCATGGATTGCTGCTCGAGTTTCCACAAATGGCCAATCAAAAAAATCACCATTATAAGTCACAATGATATGAGGACAGATGTCCATAATATGTTCAAAAAAGCGATTTATCAGGGCAGCTTCATCCGGTTCATTAAAAATAGTAAATAAACCTACAAATATATAAATTTTAAGAACTATAGCATAATTATTTAAGGACAAATTATTAATAATTTGTATATGATTACCTTCAAATTCTGGATTTGGTGTATATTCAAAATCATCAACATCTCTAGATATAATTTCACGGTTAGTAATTAAGTATCCCTGACCATCAATCATATATGAAATCATCATAATTTGATCAGTATTTGCATCAGGAAATTTCAAAGGAAGTTTTGTGGTTTCAATATCAAATGCCATAACAATCATATCAGGTCGATCAATAATATCATCACGGCGGGTAAAAGTTGCTTGGTTATAGGGTCCACGGCATTGAACGGTATACCATAATCCAGTGAATATCTTGAGATCTGTAGATACTCGGATATGATATACTACATCATACTCTCTATAGATATATTTATTTTATTAATTATTAATCTTGATTTAGTAAAGTATATAATTCAGTAATATTAATGAAATCCAAAAAAAAAAACACAACATTTATTTTTAAATAAAAGTAAAATTTAGTTAAGTATTCAAACTGTATAAATTGAAGATTAAGATTTAAACTTTTAATAAATAATAAATTTAAATTAAGTATATCAAAGATAAATTCCTATAGAATTAACTATTAAGATATTATCAAAACTAATCCTAATATTTTACCTACTTATTTATCAAGACAAAAATTACAATTATTATTAACAAAATAGTAATTTAAGTATGAGATTTAAGATTTAGAGTAGGTTCATACATTATTAATCAAGTCTAAACATGTATTTGAAAGTAAAACCTAAATACATAACTAAAGAGATTTTACAAAAAAATGCAATTGAATTATTAAAATGAATGTATTAAATAAACAATAGTAATTTGAAGTTCTATCGTAAACTGAAGCAATCGAAGTCGACACAATAACACCAAACCCAGATCCTGATGTAAGCTACCCTGAAGCGCACACTTCACAGATAAAAAGTGCAAATCTACTTCCTCCTATAATAGTCAAAGGAATTAAAGATTTTGTAAGTCAACGCTCGGAACTCACTTAACTTAAACTTAAACTTAACTCAACTCAACTTACTTTATTGTTGGTGGTGATCTCAATGCCACAACACCATAACACACCCAATGAGGATGTCACTCAAACTCACCAAGAGGTAACGCTCTCAGACAAGTTATTACTGCCAAAAACTACTTAATCATCTCACCCCAACTTCACCTCGAAAGCGACCAGATATCCTTGACATATTCGTCTCTAAAATACCGAACCGATTCAACACTATCATAGATAATCTAACAAATCCTCACTCAGACCACTCGCCAGTACTTCTCACCCTCGCCACCTCTCCTCTAAAAAGATCAATGAATCCATCATTAATCAATGGAAGAGTTAACTGGGAAAAATTCCAAACTATACTTACAAACAACATTAACCTGAACGTTAATTTAAAATCCCCAAACCAACTTGAAGAATCAGTACAATATCTAACATCAACTATACAAAATGTGGCATGGTTCTCTTACAAACCAAAAAAAAAAAAAACTAATAAATTACAATCAAAATAATTTCTCTTTGCCTACCTATTTAAGATCTCTTATTGTTCAAAAACGTCGTGCCAGAGCAACCTGGCAGAGAACAAAATATCTCACCGATAAAACTAATTATAATTATTTAGGCACATTACTCAAAAGACAAATGGCAAAAAAACAAACTAGATTCTTATCCGAAAAAGATAGCTCCTTGTGGAAAACCACTAGAAAAATCTTAAAAATCAAAACAATCTCATTTCCATAAAAAAACCTGACGGCAGTCTAGCTATAAACGATAAAGAAAAAGCAGAAGCACACAGACATCACCTCTCCCAAGTCTTTAGCCCAAATGATTCCACTAATCCTTCCATAGAAAACAAAATAGTAAATTTCCTAGATAGCCCACTCCCAATGACACTTCCGCCCAAACCATTCACTCCAAATACGGTAAAATAATTTATACAAAAATTTCTATTAGGTAAATCACCTGGCCATGATTTGATAACAGCCGAAATAACCCGTAGATTTCCCAATAAAGTTATATTACACATCACTCATATCTTTAATGCTATACTCCGACTCTCATATTTCCCGATTCAATGGAAAATCGCCACAATTATTCTCTTCCCTAAACCAAACAAATCAATAGATAACCCCTCCTCATACAGGCCTATTAGTTTGTTACCCTTTTTTGCAAAACTTTTAGAAAAACTAATATTAAACAGAATCTACCTAATCATCAAAGAAAAGAAACTAATTCGACACGCAATTTGGATTTATAGAACATCACTCAACCATTCACCAAATACACCGACTAGCTGATACCATTGTCTTTTCTCTGGAAAAGAAACAATACACTTCTGCAGTATTTATTGATGTTGCACAGGCCTTTGACAAGGTCTGGCATCCCGGTTTTCTTTTTAAACTAAAATCGTTCCTACCCCCCTCATATTACCTTTTTTTTACAGCGTACCTCAACGAACGTCACTTCTTTGCAGGTCAAGAACCGAATACTCCAGTATATCCCCAATATTGGCCGGCGTCCTCAAGGCGCAGTCGTATCTCCAACTCTTTTTAATCTATACTCTGCGGACCAACCCACCAATCTGAATACTCAAATAGCCGAATATGCCGACGACAAAGCAATATATACCACCCACACCGAACCTGACATAGTTTTATCTACTCTCCAAAGCCATCTGAATGACCTATCACACTGGTATTCCCTCTGGCGCGTCAAAATTAATGAAAACAAATCTGTACACACCACCTTCGCTCTCCGACACAGACAACCTCCTCCGGTACATATAAACAGTAAACCAATACCAAACTCCGACATACCTAAATATCTAGGTCTAACCTTCGACAACGTCTAACATGGGCTAAACACATTCACACAACACAATTAAAATTAAACCAACGACTTTACTCTCTCAAACCAATTCTTGGTAAATTCTCAAAATTATCCCTCAAAACCAAAATTCACATCTATAATTTTCTTCTTAAGCCTATCTGACTCTATGGCAGTGGTTTTCAACCTTTTTAACAATGCGGTACACTTCATCTCTAACAAAATTTTCGCGGCACATCAATTCATAAATGATGTGAAACATAATTTATATATATATATACATGTATACTATTTACAGTATACTCTATTAGAGGGTTGTTTATTGTGAAATATGTTAATACAATCGATCGGTCGAGACGGCCGCGACGGGCATACTTACAATGAATAATATTATGTGTATCTACGATTAGTTCGATCAGTTTTCATATCGAATATCAATGATAAGCTGGTAAATACATGCTTATAAAACAATTTATAGATTTATCACGGTACGTTTAAAGGGCGCTCGCGGCACACCGGTTGGGAACCACTGCTCTATAGTATCGAACTCTGGGGCACAGCAAAAATATCAAATACACAAAAAATACAAGTGTTCCAATCAAAAATCCTTCGACTCATAACCAATGCTCATCCGTATATTTCAAACCACACACTATATACAGATCTTCACAGTTCTAAAGTCATTGATACAACCAAGCTATATTACTCAAAATTTAGGAATCCCCTTCAAAATCACACTAATCCTCATATTAAAAAGCTACTATCTATCTCCATCCTAGGATATCTCCCAAAAGACTTAAACGACAATGGCCACATGACCTTATAAGGTAAGCATAATGTAAATACTTAAATACCTAAATAATTGTAAATTCACGTCAAAGTACCTTCACTGGACGGTTTCTTCCCTCAAGACACTCAAGCTATTGCACTTAATTAAAAAAAAAACATACATTATGCTTATTGTACTTTTTTTTAGTATAGATTGTATAAATTCTTGATTAAAATTAAAAAAAAAATTGAAGTTCAAGAAAACAAAATAAAATAAATTTTCAATTAAATTATTTGTTTTAAGTCACATGATTCTAATAAATTATTCATTTAGTAGTAACCTGATATCAATAATATTTTCCATATGATCAATTTGCTTCTTTGATGAAGCTACTTCTGATAAATTAGCTAAAGATTCTGTTAACATTTCAGTGTAGTAAGAGTTATTTTTTGATGCCAAACGATTTTTGCGTACAGCTGGCATTATAGCTTGTTTTACTTTATTCAAATCAGTAATAGTAGCAAATGAAATTTTTATATATCTTTGTTGTAAACCTATCAAATGATTTGGCTAAACATAAAAATGATTGTTTTATTAATTATAAAATAAAATAAAAGTAATTAAATATTAAAATTGTAATCAGTACCATGTCTAGATCCTCTTTCATAACTGTTTCAATACTGGTAAAACTACCAGCAAATTTTTTACTTATATACGCCACAACTTCTTGAACATATTCTTTTTTAGCCAAAAGATAAAAATATGGCTGAAATGGTTGGGTAACTCTGAATCGGGATCCATCATCTTTAATGAAATAATAATCTACTGCAGCTACCAAACGTTTATCTTCATCAACGATTTCAGTCTAATAATAATTTTACTAATTAGAACTATCATAAGTTGAACAAATACACAATATATTGTTAATGTAAAATATTTATTTACGCTATGCATATTGATGAGATAACCGGTGTGCTCCTGGTAATCTTTAACACGGATAAAACCATATTTGTTGTCAATTAAATCGTTTTCAATTGATTGCTTTACTCGAGTGTCGTTGGAGTCTTCTTTAAATTGACTAGATTAAAACATGTTCAAAATATATAATTAAAAATTACCCTTATAACTTAATATAGAATATTCGGGCGAATAAATATACATACTTAAAAAAAGACTTCTCAGGAGGTTTTACAAAACGACCTGTATTTGCAGGGCTCATATTTGCATATTTTATAAATCACAAATACTAATAATTTTGACAGTAAATACCGTGTACTTACCTACTATTATTCAATAAAACATATTTTTCAAGCTAGGTATTTATATTCATTGTGATAAAACACTAAACGAATTGGCGGGAATATTAACCATGGAGAAAACGGTTATTATTATTATTTTTTCTTGATAACATTTAAACGGGATTTAAGATATTACTATAGGTACTTCAATACATTTATTCTGTGATACTTTTAAACTCTACTCAGCCAGAGCCGTTTTTAAAGTAAAGCCCCAGGGTTTATTATAAATCGAAGACCTATATACATAAACATACATAATTATATAAATATATACATAAATAAACATACATAATTACATAAATATATACATTAATAAATATACTTAATTACATAAATATATACATAAATTATGATACATACATTTTTTTAATAAATCAATTATTATAATTAACTATTAAAAAGCATAATAACTTTATCAGTACCTATAGGTAAAAAATAAATTCTTGTTTGAATCTATTAATTTCATTACTTATTTTAATTTTTTAAACGTATTGTCCTTAAAGTAATTTATTTTTAATTACAAAGTACGCGTGGATATAAGAATTATTTTTAAATTAATACACTTTATAGTTAAAAATAAATGTAACTCAATAAACTATAATAAACTAAAGTAAACTCAACTCATAAAACAAAAACTATTTAACTTTAAAACGTAGAATTCAGTGGTTCGGCAATAATCACTGATAATACGCACACCGATGCAGGTCGGTTACATCACGTTCGATATACCCGTATGCGCTCGATAATTACTAATCATTGTCATTTTATATACAGCCCATTTTTACATTCAAAATTTTTTAGGATTTAGACCCTAATTAATTAATTAAACCCTATCCACTCATGTCATATGTGGACGAACACATCAGTTTTTCTTTTCGTTGATAAGATTGCATTATTTTTGTAAAAAACTAATTTTAATAATTTACTATCGATATTTATTTAAAAAAAAAAAAAAAGAAAAGAAAAATGTAAAATTATGATAAATTCTAAATATAATGTAATTTTTGTAAATTTGAAGCTCTTCAAATCGCAAGGCCCCTTCGCGTATGCCTTAAACGATATTAGGAAAAAAAAATACTTGGAAAAAAGTAACCAAGAAAAAAAGTACCAAAAAAAAAGTATTTGATTGTGTATTATTATTATTATGGTATGGCAAAAATATTACATCGTATACAACTATTAACAACTAATATATAAATACAAAACACATTCATAAGTAACTTTATATAAAAACATAAAACATAAAACGTAAATCAGTCACAATTCAAAGTATAGAATAATGGAATAACAATAACAAAGGATAATAATAGTTTTAATATACATATTTAAGTTTATATTTATAAAATTTGGCGTAGATAGAGATTTTGTAGTCTTAGTTTTGGATATCCAATTTCGAGATCCACTCAACTGCTTCTGATGTGGCCATATGGAGTTTGTTCATGCCCTTGCTGAATAATCTCCTTGGACATTCTTCAACAATATGTTCAATTGTTTGTATCGTACTTCCACAATCACATTCTGATGTAGGTCTGAGACCCCATTTACATAATATTTGTCCAGTTTTACCATGCCTTGTTCTTATTCTATTTAGTGTGATCCATTCTTTGCGCTGTAAGTGGAACCCTGGTTGTCTGGTTGTTGGATACTCAATGAGGTTCAGTTTGTCTGGATTCTCGACTTTCCATTCATTTATCCACTTGGAATTTGGATTGAAGCCGTCCAATCGTAAGTTTTGTGCTAATTTCCATGGAGGTTTACGAGATTTCAGCCTTTGTGTTTGGCTGTGGTTAATATCTTTATGAATCGGCAGATCATTATGTTCTTGGGGTACAAAGGTAAATTGCTTCCACGCAGTGTACCCCGGGTAACGTCCTAGACAGCTAAAGTTTTACCAACACCGGCGACCGAACTGTCCATATATATGGATCTCCCGGTCTACAACATTAACATCAATTGTGTATATATTACGTAAGAAACAAAAAAAAAATCAAAATAATATTTAGTAATTAGTAATACAAAATAAATAAGGTTTTAAACAATATTTCTTCTTTTTTATATATGAAAATAAATCAACATTTTTTATATTAATATTCGATGTTGTAGTATAATTGATGCAGAAAATATTGTTGAATATTTCAGTGTTAATTATGATGAAGGTAACGGAAATATATATTTATAAATCTATAATATTTATAATATTTATTCTGTAAATAATATATATTTAATCATTAATTATTTTAACTGGACGTGGTATAGGGCAACGATGCCGTATACCACCTCTTTTTCCACCAAATATATGGAATGTTCTGAAACAACGTTAAATGACGATCAATGAACAAATAACGTTTTTGAAGGTTGGAACAACAGATTTAATCATATTGTCGGTTAGAAACATATAGAAGCTAATTCAAAAAATGAAACAGGACATTACCACAGATAAAGCCCATTTAACTTCAAATGAAATTGGTGAACAAGCCAGTTACAAAAATATATATATATATATGAACAATGTAATGTCGATTAAAAGCATTGTGTAATCGTTTAAATAAAAATGGATGTACATTTCAAGAGTTTTTATTAAATATAGGTAATAACATAAGAAAACGAATTTTGACTAATTTTTAAATTTTAATTAACACACACAAGTAATATTATCCTACTTTTTTAATAAAATACTTTTTTCTCAGGTACTTTCTTATCCCGGTACTTTTTTCTTAAATATTATTTTTTCATGGATTTTTTACCTTAAGCTGACACTGCTTACAGCTCTATTGCTTTATTCAATATCCTGTATAAATTATGAAATTATATTAAATTTTACTCTACGGTGGTTTACATTTAAGCAGGGAGGTATTTTTGATGAAAAATCCAAAGATACTTAAACTCCCACGAAAAATACCAGTTTACATAGCCTTAAATATAAATACAAAAAACTATAGAAATCTTAAAATCAATAAAATTCAGACTTGGGTAAAATAATTTTTAAAAGTATTTAGAATAAATACTCGAATACTTACAAAAAATAGTATTCTGAATATGTATTCAAATACTTTATACCAATTGTATTCCGAATACATTATTACTTCAAAAGTATTCCGAATACTTTTAAAATACTTCTAGTTTTCATACTGTACAACTAATAGATGTCCACTCAACCAGTGGCGTATTTACGGGGGGGGGGGGGTTATGGGGGATAGATCCCCCCCTTGACCTTTTTTTTTTTCCTAGGTAGCTATAAGTTGTCTCATTTTCTCTAATATTCTTAATATGATATTACTTTCAAGCATGTATGTTTTCTGTTTTCTAAATGTTCTAGTCGCGGTAATTGTACCGCTCTGATAGTCTGGTATACTAATCGCCACTAATCGTTTATCGTTGGCGGCATGTACGACTATCAGGCAACAAAAACTATACCTATATTATGGTGTAATGTATTTTGTACGTTTCTGCGAATTATTTTTCATGCAAGAGTGTTTATAATAAACCCGATAAGCAATCGGTAAACAAAACAAAATGACCATGAAGACCGTGGATTAACCATAGGGCGGCCGGGCGGGTTTATTTTTAGAAAATTTATTACTATAATGCGGCCAGCGAAACTAGAAGCTTGACGGTCACGCGCCCTAGTGGCCGTTTTTCATTAGGGCTACGAAGAATGATTTCCCGCGTAAAACAATTTCAAACACATTTACACTTGTTGTATAGACCTGTTTCACAGCTACTCGTACGATACGCGTGCTTATCATATATTCTTAAACACAACGTAGCAACGCATTTTACTGATTATTTACAATAGAATGAGAACCACTTTTCGTGAGCCGGACTACTATATAACATATTCACTATATTCATTTCGAAAAACAACGCAGCTGTACAAACAACCAAAATATTTAGAACCCCTGGTTTACACGAAAACGGTCACTAGGGCGCGTAACCGTCAAGCTTCTAGTTTCGCTGGCCGTACTATAGTAGATTTATGGCTAATGTATAGCTATATATATATATATATATATATATTTTATCGTATGATATTGTGATTCGTTAAAAGTAGATATGTACGGTCGTTGGACGTTGACGGATAGCGACGCCGCGCCATTCCGAGTACTGACTTACTGCCGAATTGACTGTTGTTCGACTTTATTTTTTGCGTCTTGTAAGTTGTAACTGTGAAGTTTTAAGACAATATGAGTAATACTCAAAAACAAAAAAAAACTTTATTTTCTTATTTTAGTACAAATAAAAAAATTTGTTTGGAAAATGATGAGGTAATTATAAAGATTAATTCTTATTTTGCCTTGATCCACACTAACCTCAATAGGTAACAAGTTAGGGGATTTTAAAAATGTATACTATGTACGAATTTATGGGTGTTAGGATGTATTATTATATATTTCATCCCCCCCCTAGCAAAATTCCTAAATACGCCACTGCACTCAACAGAAATATTTAAAATTGTAGACTAAATATATGTTATTTTATTGTATTTTTATATTAAATAACTGTTTTATAGTTTATGGTTTACAATAATAATAAATACCTGATATTAGCTTATACAAGATACAACGGAGAAGTAATAAAATCATTTAAAAAAGAGATGATTTGACGGTATTCGAAATACAGTATGTAGAATACTCGTTATAAGTATTCAAAATACTTTATTGAATACTTTCAAAAAATGTATTTAAAAAGTATTCGAAATACTTAAAAATTATTCTGAATATAGTATTCCGAATATTGTATTCGGAATACTACCCAAGTCTGATAAAATTCAATCGTAGTAGTCAAAAACTATTATAAAAAATTTCTGACCTGGCAATACGTCATTTATGTTCGATTTTTACGTTTGTAATTATACATGGGTGAAGTTGGGTAATTCAGCCAGGGACGTACCGAGGGAAGGAGTTTTGAGTATTCAACCACCACCCAAATTTTAACGAACTTACAATATCGATACAGTTATGGATGTGTGAAATAAGATGGGTATTAAGACACGATGCTATTTATAATTTTAAAGAAATTGACATTCCAATAATTTATGCCTTAGACTTCCAAAAATCAATTAATTCTGAAACTCTCAATAAAATTAATTTAACTCTTTTCAGGAATATTAAATGGCCAATTTTTTATTACTTTAAGTATATCTAATAGAAAAAGTATTCGGTTATACATTACACTACGTAACCACTAAAAATTCCGATGAAACTGCTGCATGTGATCAGGGATAGAGGTAGGGTAGGGTAAGTAGGACATTTGTTCAGAGCCTCACACTTTGAGAATATAACCTGGCCTCGCATTTGCCCCAATTAAAGACACTCAAAAGTAAAATCAAATACAAAAAACGTGAACTAAAAATATCAATAAATTATATTTTTCTATTGGTATTAATATTAAATTTTAACCTGTTACATATTATATGTTATTGCAAAGTAAAAATCATTTTTTTATAGTTGTTTATTAATAGGTGCGGATCCAGGGGGTGGTAGGGGCGACCCCCCCCCCTTTGGCTGTATTAAAATGTGTTAATTTAATTTGATGTACTATTAAATTGCATTATCTTGTGTAACCTTCTAATGTATTATTATTATGAATAGTAGATAAGAACAACATTATTGTGACCGCATGATCGACGACAACCGTTAGACGGCCATCCCCAGCCGATTCGTAGAGTATACTTATTTATAATCCACCCCTCCCGTTATGGTAGGCTAGATTCGGGCCTGTGTATTAAACTTTGTAATTATGAGTTGATAAGTTGATAACTATTTGTGTCGCTGCGTAACCGACAAGAAAAACGCACATTGATCAACTGGTTGCCGCCGCCTGTTGCAGCCCGCATTGTCAATACCATATACCTCATTTACATTCAGCCCATTTTCGTGGCAGTGAGCAGGGAAGTGGGCAGCACGAGTATGTGAACATGTAACTCGCGCTGCCCGTCGCTCCCGTTAGGAGCGGTAAATTGAGCAGTGCGAGTAGCAGGTTAACCGACAGCGTGATATTAGCACACATTAACAGGGCAAAGTAGACGCTCACTACCTACGACGCTGCCACTGAAGTATTTTTACAATGAAATACAGCAGCGCGAGGAACAGCGGCAATGGCTGAATGTAAATGGGGTATAGAGCAGTGGTCGGCAACCCGTGGGCCGTGGGCCGCATGTGGCCCGTGAAGCAATTTTTTATGGTCCGCACAACGGTGGTTAATTTTTGTTCAGTAAAATTGTTCATACAATTTTCAATACTATTCAATTCTTTTTTCTTAATAAATAAAATCTAATATAATGGTTAATAGTTGATGTTTATTCTATATAGTTATATAGTCAGTTTAGACCCGGTTTTTCAATCACATTTACTCGTCAGATAACTTGAGTTATCTGACAGATAAGAAAAAATTGATAAATTTCAGTTTTTCAATGTCGGGATGGACCTTATTCGATGGATATTGTTACGGATAAGTTATCCGTTACTTATTGTATCAAATAAATCTTATTCGACGGATAATTAACAGCTGATAACATAAAAATGGTTAGTTATCATAATTTTTCATATTATTTTAAATATATATGTGTATATATACACAATTTCAATTTCAATATACATGTATTTATTTGAAGAGGATGATTATAAAACAATTAAATATTTGAACTATTGACGTCGTCTGTACTCTGTATACGAAAGAATAAAACGGCCGTAACACGTTTGGGTACAGTAGACCCTAAACGCAACACGTTTGGGTACAAATGAATACACCGTTTGGGTACACCATATCTCTAAAAAAATAACACGTTTGGGTACATAGGACATAGGTATTAATATAACATTTAGAAACACCTAGAAAAATAATACTTTAATATTTAATCATTAATTTTAAATTTTTAGAGCCTATTAGCGTTATCCAGGAGACACCACGAGGAGGTTGGCTCTATTTAGTCTCCCAAAAATAT